TCTCCACAGCTGAGACAAACCAAATTGATAAATCGTTCTAGACATAAATACTATGAACATGGGGAGAAGATCAGAAGGCAATTGGCTCATCAGATAAGGATATCTGAGTCATCCAGGCATATAAACGAAATTTGCACCGGTTCTGGAAATACAACAAAAGACCAATTGGAAATAAATCAAGAATTCAAACAATTTTATTCTAAACTATATACAACAGAAGCAGCAGTTAATTCTGGAACCATACAAGAGTTCTTTGATGACTTAGAGATTCCTTCCATCTGGCCCAGATGGGTATACAGCCGAATTTGAGACTTTCGCTACAGAGGTTGCACCTCTTCTTTTGAAAGTTTTGAATGAGTCATCTGAAACAGGGTTTCTTCCAACAACATTTTATCAGGCAACAATCTCTCTAATACATAAAAAAGGAAAAGACCCACTGGAAGCAGCACCTCATAGACCAGTGAGTCTACTGAATATAGACGCCAACGTTTTTGCTAACATTTTGGCAATTAGACTAGAAAATGTACTCCCAACAATAATTCATGTAGATCAAACAGGTTTTATCAAAAATACACAAATGACTCATAATATCCGCAGACTATTCAATATAATATATACATCCAACTCCAACTCACTCTCCAAATATTATTATCATTGGATGCAGAGAAGGCCTTTGACAGGGTCGAATGGGATTATCTCTTCTCGGTCCTGTCAAGGTTTGGTTTTGGCTCGAAGTATATTTCATGGATCAAGCTCCTTTATGCATCTCCAATGGCTTCAGTACAGACAAATAAGATCAAATCTGAGTACTTCAGGTTAACACGTTCCACTAGGCAGGGATGTCCTCTTTCTCCGCTGCTTTTTGCACTGGCAATAGAACCTCTTGCGGTCTCTTTGCGAGCTTCAAAACAATACAGTGGAATTCATAGAGGAGGCCAGGAGCACAAGGTTTCACTGTTCGCAGATGATTTATTAATATACATCTCGGATCCTTCTAAATCAGTCCCCGCAATAATCTCAATTTTGAACAAATTTGGACAAATATCAGGATATAAAATAAATATTAGCAAAAGTATATTATTTCCAATAAAGATCGTAAACGACCAACAACTCTTAGACAAATTGCCCTTTAGGATCTCAACTCAGTTTAAATATCTAGGTATTAACATTACTATAGGTCTATACAAGGAGAATTTCAAAAAATGACTAGACATCATAACAGAAGACCTGCAGAGATGGTCCCATATTCCAATTACATTGGCAGGCTGAATCAACATAATCAAAATGACCATCCTCCCCAAATTTCTTTTCTTATATCAGTGCATTCCCATTTATATCCAAAAGAGTTTTTTTCATAACATAGATAGAATAATCACAGAATTAATTTGGAATAGGAAAAAACATAGATTAAGGATGATCTTCCTACAGAGACCAAAATCAGTAGGAGGTATGGGATTGCCAAACTTTAAACTTTATTATTGGGCAAGTAACATTAAAATGATGACCTACTGGCTACAAAAAAAGTCTCCGCCATGGTTACGTATAGAAAATGCCTGTTGTCACCCCTCCTCTCTTCCAGCCATGTTGTTCTCAGCTCTGCCCACTGTAGACCCTGACTCATTAACTAATCCGGTTGTCTCCCATTCACTCAAGATTTGGTCCCAAATTCGAAAATTTCATGGTTGGCAGTCTTGTTCGCTTCGAAGTCCTCTTATAGAGAACCATGCCTTCGCACCTTCATTTACTAATACCTTATTTAAGGATTGGTTCGAAAAAGGAATTCATTCCTTCCTGGATATATTCATAGATCAAATTTTTCCAACATTTGAACAGTTACAGGAAAAATACAATATATCGAGGTCACAGTTTTATAAATATTTACAGATAAGGAGTTTTGTTGTGCAGAATAATCCATCATATCCAAATTATCTGAATCAATCCTCAATGGATCTGATACTTATGCAAGATCCTGCTAAAAAGAGAGGAATATCCAAGATATACGAAATGCTATCAAACCTGTCAGATAAACCTACTATGGATCATCTGAGGTTGGCCTGGCAGGACGACCTAGGCAGGGGGATCACGGAAGATCAATGGCAGGTAGCCCCAGCACAAACTCATAGCTCTTCAATATGTGGAAGACATGGTCTCCTGCAATTTAAAATAATACACCGTTTACATTGGTCAAAACAAAAGCTACATAAAATATTTCCTTCAGTAGATCCTTCATGTGACAGGTGTGGACTCGGACCTGCAACACTGGGTCATATGTTCTGGAGTTGCCAAAAGCTATCAAATTACTGGGACAATATTTTTCAGACTTGACCCATTGGTGGTGGTTCTAGGAATTATTGATCCAAGTGTGACAAAAAGCAATATAGAACATAGTATAATTTCGTTTGTCAGCCTACTTGCACGAAGACTGATACTACCTAATTGGAAACAAAAGACAGCCCCAACTCATTCAAATCTTATGACAGACGTTATGAGACATTTGGAGCTGGAGAAAATCTGATTTTTACTGAAAAATCAGGAAAGAAAGTTCTATAGAATTTGGCAGCCGTTTATTGATTATTTTAACCACAACACATAGTCTGATGGCAAGTTTTAGAAGTGTTCTTTACCCCCAATAGAAGGAAAGAACTTTTATTAATTTATTACTTTATTTATTTATTTATTTTAATTCCTGTCATTATTTACTCCCCCACTTTTTTTTTTTTTAAATATATGTATATATATATATATATATTTGTATAATCTTGGTTTTTAAATTGACCCCCTTTATCTGTCTATTTTTCATTCTGAGATAATATGTTAATATGATTTAAATTATTTTTAAACGTAAATGTGTCTGTGTAAATGTGTATGGTGTTTGTATGACTGTTATGTTTTATGTTCAAAATGAGAAAAATCAATAAAGAGAGTTGGAAAAAAAAAATATTATTATATTGTATTATTGATCAACGTTGGTTAACACGGTCCTTACTATCCCTGCACTAACGTTGGTTTTAAGAGTCCTCTTTGTACCACTTTAGAAGTTCTAGTCCAACATTTGGTTCCTGCTTTGGGACTCTAGCAGCTGGTTTCAGTCTCCACCATCGGACCTCACACAGCTCTCTGGCTGATCAGGGGCAGAGGATGGTGGAGCTGAACAGAAATTAGCCTTTCTGGTTAGTTAGGATGACATTAATCAATTAAACATATTGTTATTTACTGCAGAGAGAATTGGGGGGTTTCCCATTCAAAGCTGAAATGTAGCGTATCTGGTGAAGCTGTTGACACTGAGCTTTCAGTTACTGCACACATATTATGGTCTGCGGTGGTAAAATATTACTGCAGGATGAGTGCGGTCACCTCCAGGTTTCAGGCTGAATCAGGTGTCCTGCTGAGCAGCTGGATGTGTGCGGACTAGCAGACAGCAGGGAGGACCAGCCGATCTGACAGTGCAGTTAATATTTCAGGGAGGAACTCCACCACGGCCGTCAGGACTCATCACATCGCCGGGGGAACAGCAGCTAATGCTGACATGCTTCTAAACCTGTACAACGCCGACTGCAGTGACGCCGTCACCTCCGGGTTCCACCGTCAGTAAACAGCTGATCCTTAACACCACTGTTCATTTTATACATTCCTAAACTCAGATGTAATGTAATCCAACCTAAATTCAGTGTGTAAAAACTGTTCACACGACCCTACATGACGTTCTTACTGAGGTATAATTATGTGTCGCTGTTTATATTAATCAATGTTTCTGGAGGTGTGAAAATGACCTCAAAAAGGCTGCAGACAAATGGTTCAGATAACGGAGAGTAGAAACCACCAGAACGACAGACTGACACCTCTCATCACTCTCACAGTGACTGACAGCTCTTTAAAAAACACCAATCTGAGTCAGTCATGATGCTTCTAAAAGTTTGTTTACAGCAGTAATATTTGGAGACAGGCTGTAAAATGGGTTCATATTTCATGTTGAACTAAAGCTTTTCAATATATGTTAAAACTTCCATATGTCAGATTCCAGTATGAATCAGTGTGTGTGAATCAGTGCATGTGAGCAGAGAGAGAACAGGTTGTAGCGTAGCTTTGTTCCTCTGCTGCCTGTGGACTGATTTCTATGTGTTTTTATGTAGGGATGAGGATGAGCAACATACTGCCTGAGTGGATATGTTAATTGGTTTACGTTAGCTTCCCCAGCTAACGTGATCCATGATACTAACTTATGTTTCAGAGACATTCTGAATACGATTGTCATTTATTTTACAGTGTTAAGTCTCGTGGCGGTCATGTCACTGTTTTGGCTGATGTCTATGCAGTTAGCTTAGCACCGCTAGCTCTAGAACTGCCTCTTTCTGAGACCATTAGGCTCCATCGTTGCTGTTTACAAACACAGAAAAGGTGTTGGAAGGGTAAACAGCTGCTGTGAGGAGACTGCAGCACGTTAACACTTCTGATGTGTGTATTTATGTATTATACAGAGAAATAACCGATCATTCAGACTGTTAAACTGTAAATCGACCACATGTTATGAATAATGACTAACAGAGGTCTAACTGAAGGTTAAAGGAGGTGTCATTTCAAAGAAACAGTGACAGCTCTGATCAGCAGTCTTCACTGAGAGTTTAATCTGAGCTCGAGTCAGACGACTGAGTCAACCATCAATAACTTATTGACAGACCTGTCTGACTCCTCTGTTTATGTACAGAGGGATTGTGAGATGCAATGTTTAATTTGCTGAGAAAAGTCGAAGCCTGCGACGTCTGGAGGTAACGGGGTCACTCATATAAAGCTAACATACAGACACAGTGCAGAGGTCAGTTACAACCACTGCTGTTATTTATGAATGAACTCTCAGTCAGTGTGATTCCAGCTGGATGTAAAGTTGTGTTTTTGATTGGATTTTGATATAAAAATACAAAGAAATGTTTGTATTTTTATTGGCATACATACTGAGGATGTTTATTGTCTCTGTAGGTGTAAACAACTAAATAAAAGTGACTCACATCCGATCATCATCATGGCCACGGCGAAGATCTTCTCTCCGTCTGTGTTGGGCGCGATGTTTCCGAAGCCAATGCTGGTTAGGCTGGTCATGGTGAAGTACAGAGAGGTGATGTAGACTGAGTCCTTTGTGGGCCCCCCCTCCCAGCGGCCCGTGCCCGTGGCGTTGAACCTGTACGGCGTCCCCACCGTCTCCCCCAGCAGGAACAGCCAGCTGTCCATCCTCACTTTATTGGTGTCCTCATTGATCACCTCATAGTCTCCGATGCTGTACCAGATGCAGGCCAGCCAGTGGGCGGCCAGGCCGAACACGCACACCAGTAAGACCAGCACGGCTGCTCCGTACTCGATGTAGTGGTCCAGCTTCCTGGCAACCCGACCCAAACGCAGCAGACGGACCACTTTGAGAGAGCTGAAGAGACTGCTGATCCCCTGGAGAGGAAGAGGAGGAATAAATGATGCAGCTGTAAACTGAATTATACAAACTATATGTTTGTTTTTATCGCCAGTTTTGGCTCCTGGTACTTCACATTAGCTGTGCGGCTAGCCGAAGCTAACAATAGCTAACATTACAGTTAGCAGCAATCACCTACTTTTAGTAAAAAGTCCATCAGGAAACTCCATAAATCACCTCGGTACCGCTGTCGTCAAACTGTCCTCTGTCTGTCGGAGGGTGTGTTCACTGGGAGGCTGCTGAGCCCCGTTCAGTTGCACACTAACGGCAGCTACATTAGCAGTTAGCGGAATTGAGTCAATATTATCTCCATAAGCTTATGATCAAGTTTCACCAACATCACTGATAAAGTTGTGTGTTTGTATGCAGCCACTAGCTAACCTACAACACAGCCGCTCAGTCAGCTACAACATCAGTGTCTGACTGAAGTTTAGTGGTTGTATTTTATATCAGCTGCTTTTAAATGCTCCTCTCCATCATCTGTCAGTGCTTTTACAGTCAGAATGGATAAAGTGTATAAAACATATATGAAACATATATGAAACATGCAGCATCCTCTCCATGTTTGACTGCTCCATCACTGCAGCCTCTCATCAGACCACTCAGCCGTCTCTCCAGCTCCTCTCATCAGCAGCACTGTTTCCTCGCAGGGGAAACACCCATAATGCACTGCTCCTCCATTAGCCGCTTTCAGAGCTGCGACCGCAGGGAGAATGAAGAGGTTGATTTCACCCTGATGGGCTGGAGCCATCGAGGGGTTGAATCCCGACAGGACAGGATTCATCAGTTATATTGTGATGATTGTCGGGTCGGTTCATTATTTTACGTTGAGGTCACAACTTATTTATCAGAATTCAAACTAAATCAAACTGATTTTGAGAAAATGTATTATCATCAATCACTTTTTCATAAACATATTTACTTAGATTCCTGATTCGGGATCAGATCTGTAACAGACTCTCAGGTGGAGGATCGTTCTGTCCAAAGAGGATTCTCCCGTCTGTCTAATGGCGGCCGGAAGTTGCAGTCTGAGGTTTTCTTGCATTTTTGACACGTCAGCAGTTAAGCGGCGCTATGTTGTGACCTTTCGCTCTGCTGCTATAGGAAGTCATTACATGCTGTGAAGTCAATGGATGAATGTGAAACGGTCCACTCCATCATGTCAATTAAACTCCCAGCAATCATTTCACGCTTCAGCTGAACGGACCGCATCTGATTTACATTACAGCTGTTTTACAGAGCACCACCGAATCCTACACGCTGGTCCTTTAAGTGTTATTAAAGTCCCAATGAACTCAAAATCAGTGTTTCTGTCTCCTGTCCTCCAGTTTCTGTCCAACTGACTTACAGACATCTATGGCCTCACTAATTACTGTACAAATACCTACTTTATAGCTAACACACACACTGGCGACATCTCAATGCATTGTTGCAGATTGACGTGCACCAGTATACGTCACTGTCCTAAACAAATGATTCGATAGTCACATCTACTGCACTTTGTTTACTTCCTTTCGTTGTTTAGAAAGCTGTTATTTTGCATTTTACAGCCAAATAAAAGTCCACTGACCTCATCGACGTTCTCGAAGGCGTTGATGACATCATAAGGCAGGCAGGACAGTAGATCGATGACAAACCAAGTCTTGACGTAGTTCATGCGGATGAGCTTCGGGTCAGAGATGACCTCTCCGGCCGGCCCGACGAATGTGGTGTGGAAGTTGAGGACGATGTCGACAAGGAAGATGACGTCCACTATGCTGTCCACCACCAGCCAGGTGACGTTGTTCTGCTTGGTCTTGAAGGAGACATTGTAGGGCACCATGATGGCGGTGTAGAAGGTAAGGATAAGGATGACCCAGTCCCAAGTGGTCTTGAAGAGGCAGTAGTGCAGGATGATGTGCGGTGGCGTCTTCGGGGTTTCCTGTTTGTACTGAGGCAAAATGTCCGAACCCAGCTGGAGAACCTGAGACACACAACAAAATATAAAAAACAGAGCATCAAGCTGTGGTTTAGTCTTGTAGGTAAGGAAATAAAAAAAATACTCAACAAGACACACATTTCACTGTGTGATATTAGAGACAGACAGGTCATGGGTTCTCGAGGAAGTCAAGATGGAAGTAGCAACAAACAATACGACCAACAATAACATAGAAATAGGTCTTTTTGTGTATTTCAAACAACTCTTTGGGATTTTTGGTGAGGATGGCCAAACATTAGAACTTCTACTTTTGGAAAATGGTAGTAAAACAAACAAACAAGTGCTTAACGCTATCTGCATGCTAAGATACTCACAATGTCAATGCTAACATGCTGATGCTAAGCAGCTGTTTATGGCTAACATAATGTTATAAGTAGTTCGGTCTAGACCTGTTCGATTTGAGTGTCCTGAGATAACTTTTGTTATGAATTGGTACTGTACAAATAAAACTGAATTGAATTACCCAATTAGTACTAAACAGGAGGAATCGTCGACATATAAAAGATGGACACAGCGTCTCCACTTGCTCCCAATGTACAAAATTAACCAGAATATCCAGATACCGCCGCTCCATTCAGAGCCAGAGATGCGAGCAGGCCTCAGCTGTCAATCAGAAGTGAAACCCTCTTTTTATGCGTCAAATATCTAATTAAAACCAAACTAATGATAAAAATGAACACTTGAACAAACATCAGCATGATAAGAACGGCCTAAAATGACAGAAACCATCTTTTGTTTTACTAGCCATACCATTTATTTATTCGAGTAACAAAAATGTAAAACATTAAATAAAAATTAAGTTAAAAATAAATAATAAATACAATTGATTAATTAATTTAAAAAAATAAAAGTATACTATCTTTATACTTTTCTGACTCCAAACTCGACAATTTGAATCCTGAGCATCTGTAAAGAACTCGTCTGCTGTATGAAATCAATAACTGGCTTGCCTCTCATAAACTACTGTAAAAATTAAATATGTTAATCTATGAAAAGGGTCCTCATGTAAAGTACAAACAGCCTCGCCCAAGTGAACCGCACTGATAATGGATTAATTCATTAGTATCAACAGAAATTATCTCTCTGCAGTTGATGGAAAGATTAGTCACAGCTAATTACAGCTGAAGAACTTCTCAACAACATGTTGTTTGAGGACAAACTGAAAAAAACAGTACAAGTGTTATTTATGATCTGATTACAGAGACACAACGAGCCATGAGAATATTATTTCGTATTTTAATGTAACATTATCTAATGCAGTGTTTCTCAACTGCAACAGACACTTCTTTACTGGATATGATTAATCTTTCTTTATTGTCAGGATATGTACCACAGTCCTTTAAAGTAGCTGTAATTAAACCCCTTCTTAAAAAGCCCACTCTTGACCCAGGGGTTTTAGCCAACTATAGACCGATTTCTAACCTCCCCTTCCTCTCTAAGATTCTGGAGAAAGTCAAAGAGTTGTGTGACTTTCTACATAACAATAGTTTATTTGAGGATTTTCAGTCAGGATTTAGAGTTCATCACAGCACAGAGACAGCTCTGGTTAAAGTTAGTAATGACCTTTTGATTGCTTCCGACAATGAACTTGTCTCTGTACTTGTATTATTAGATCTTAGTGCTGCATTTGACACCATTGACCATAATATTCTTTTACAGAGACTTAAGCATCAAATTGTCATTAAAGGAACCGCACTAAGCTGGTTTAAGTCATATTTATCAGATCGTTGGCAGTTTGTACATGTTAACGATGAATCTTCAATAAATACTACAGTTAGTCATGGAGTTCCACAAGGTTCTGTACTTGGACCAATTCTATTCACTTTATATATGCTTCCCTTAGGCAACTTTACTAGGAATCACTCCATTAACTTTCATTGCTATGCAGATGATACACAGTTATATCTATCGATCAAGGTGAGTCCTGAACCATCCCTTAGTTATGCTGCTATAGGCCTAGACTATCGGGGGATTTCCCATGATGCACTGAGCTCCTCTCTTCCTCTCTCTCTCTCTGCACTCATTCATGTCCCATTAATGCATGTTACTAACTTCACTTCTTCCCCAGAGTTCTTGTGCTTTCTCGTCTCACAGGTTCTCATGGATCCTGGTGGAGGTCCCTGCCATGGTCCTGCTTGACTGCCATTGCTAATATCACTGATATTATTATTTTTATTATTACTATTATTATTACTACAGTTACTATTATTACTATTGTCACTGCTCATTGTCCCCCATCATTGCTGTTGTCGCCATCATAATCTTCATGTTCATCATCAGTCACTACTATTAGTGTAGTTGTTGCTACTGTTGTTGCCGTGCACCTGTCTGTCTGTCTGTCTGTCTGTCTGTCTGTCTGTCTGTCTGTCTCTGTCTCTCTCTCACCCCAACTGGTTGAGGCAGATGGCAACCCACCTAGAGTCGGGGTCTGTTTGAGGTTTCTGCCTCTTAAAAGGAAGCCCCTGTCGCCTAGTGCTTGCTCATGGTGGTACTGTTGGGTCTCTGTAAATAATGTTATAAAGAGTTCGGTCTAGACCTGCTCTATTTGAAAAGTGTCCTGAGATAACTTCTGTTATGAATTGGCGCTATACAAATAAATAAAATTTAATTTGAATTTCAATTTACTGTAACGCACTCTACTGTAACAGGAGAGTATGAAAATGACCTGAACAGTGGCTGTAGTCGTCCTGCTGTGTGCTTACAAGCTCTCAGGTTACTGAATAAATGTGCTCATCCTGTCAGTGGGACTGAAATAGACCCTCAGCAAACACACATTACAGGTGTTCTCCAGCTGTGACGTCCAGTGATCAACACAGTTCTCAGATTCTGTGACGACAAACTTAATGATTGTTAACAATGTTTTTTAAACTCATTTGAACAAATGAGATCAGTCAACATACAGCTCAACAGCATCCCTTTAGCACTCAACCTATCATTACTGTTGGTTTAAAAAAACAGCAAAATAAAGATTGTATGAAGGAGAACTCAGGAAAAACCAGGGCCAACGTCCATTTTTAATAACAGGGTGGTTGGCTGGGTCTGAAAGCTGTCATTAAACAACAGGAACTACTCCCATCAATCAGCAGTCTGAACACTCTGCTGCCTAATAACAGGAAGAGAGAGGATGTCAGAGCTACTCTCAGCTGTTGGCTTTCAATTTAAAGGAGTTCGATCCAAAGTGCTTCTCATCTGGTGACAGAACAAATACTCCAATATGGTCGTTTGCAGTGTGAAGCTCCATCAGGTCTGTGTGCTGTCATTCTGTATTAAACACTATTACTGGTCAGAGGAAGTGCAGTCATTTATAATACATCAGAGAGAGGCTGAGTGGATCATCTGTTAGAGTCTGAAACAAATGGAAAGCTTGTCACATGGCACTAACGCATCGTAGGACACAGGTGAGGCCACCTGGAGGGAGTTTCTGCTGATCTGCTCTCTCAGTTTGTATCACAGCTGAATATTTGGTAACTCGTTCACTCACTGCTGATAAAATGATCAGAATATTATATATAGAACCTTTAATGTTCTCTGAAGGGCAAAGGTGTAAAGGTGTAAAGGTGTGAAGGTGTCAAGGTTCTCGGAGATCTTACCTCGGCCAGCCGTGAGTGTTTGTGGACGTTCTCTCCTTTATGAACAGCTGGAGCAAGCTGCTGAAGAACTCCTCGACTGCTGGTTAACGCACGAGTCAGACGGGCAAATTTACCCCAACCTGCCAACCACACAGGGACAGCGTCACAAGACCGAACCCTCGGTATACAGGAAGCATCGGTGCAGGCATTCAAAGCAAATACACAAGGGCAAAATGTTCTAGAGGATCTTAAACACAGAACATTTAACACTGTATTCAGTGGTTTTGGTGAAACTGGATCAGATTTAATGGAGAAAATATTTCCTGATTTTCCCTCTGACGTCCTCTGGCTGCTCAGCTTCAACTCTCTGTGATTCACAGAGTTTCCTGATGGACAGATTGATCAGTAGCTAACCGCTAACTTCCGTTAGCTCAGTCAGCCGTGCAGCTAACCTAACTGACTCAGCCCCAGGACGCCAGGAGACAAATCTGGCAACATGGGTACTGGATTCCCTGTTGGTCTTGGATATTTTGTTCTGTCCCGGGTCCGGCTGTGTTAACTGGAAGGTGGATGCTGACGCTAGCTCATAGTGCTAGCTGTTATTAGCAGCTGTAAACGCCAATCAATAGTGAGCCAATCAGTGACTAGTCCCTCCCTACTGCCTACAACCCTGAATATTAACAAGCAAACAGCTTCTTGGGGACTCTGATTCAATGTTCAGTAAATCACTAGTGAACAAGGACTCTAGTAATCGTATCCCCCCCACCTTTCGAAGAGTCATCCTCGATTGGTTGCTTGAAGGCCGTGATGTCACTGAAGGTGCAGAGAAACAGGACGACCTTGTCCTGCTCATTTCTTATTGGAGCGATCTTCACAAAAAACCAAACTGGCATCCCTGCAGCACAGAGAGAGAATGATGTGTCGGACCATCAGGAGGGGAATATTTCAGACCAGAGACGTTCACGGACCTCAAGAGCCCCGAGTGTTTTTAACTGCTACAACCAGTTAGACCAGTAGAGAGCTCTTTCTCATTATTTAACCAACTTTGACCTTGAGTTATGGCTTCCTCTAATTTGACTGACCGAAAAGGAAATTCAGATGTTTTTGCCAATTTAATATCATAAAAAAATAATACTGTATTGATTTTTAGGTATCAGGAGCCAAAATCCTACAGCCAGCAAGGCAATTATGTCATTACAGATCATCTGCGTCATACTATAGAAAAAATACAGAAATAGTAATTGATGAGTGTCCTGACATATACAGCGACCTTATTGAATCCCATATTTCTACCGTCTGTCCAATGTGACGTTACTGTAAACTAATTCCATGGTTTGTGTTTGTTAATCAAACTTTTACTACGAGACCACAGAAGAAGAAAACAGGAGGGTTTATCTCCACTTCCTGTTACTTTCATTATTAGAAGGTAGGTCGGCTCAGTTTATGGGAATTATTAAGGTTCAAATCCCCTCTGCTCCACACTGTTTTTTATGGTAGAGCCATAGTTTTCCCTATTTTAATATTTATTAATACAGGGGTCCAGAAACAGCGATGGAATTGGATAAATTGGGAGTGACTGGAAAGCTGAGACACCCCTGCATAAGTCAGTACCCCCATTTGTGCCACCCCGAGTCACATAAGTCTGGAAACGCCTCTGAAATCAAGTGGAAACTCGGGCTGTCCTAATAATGGCAAAAATGAAATGAAAAAAAGAAAATAAACGCAGAAGATAAACAAAGAAAAGCTGTGAAAGTGCTGATTCATTAAGCTCAACAGTCAGTCAGACAGTTCTCTCTCTTACTGACTCCGACTGTCGCTGAAAGGCTGCCAGCTGTCAGCATGGTGTGCCCCACTTAGGAACATAAACTGGTTCTGGAGGTCTTGAGGTCCTGAGTTTCTGGGTTTTTGGAGTATTCAGGTCAGATAAAACACATTTAACGCACACTATGTCAAAAAGTCGAAGTACTCACGGTTTTTCTTGTACATCAGAATCTCAAAAGAGTTCATCTCGTAGTTCTCAAAGGTCTGCCGAACCTTCTCGCTCATGTCCTTGTCTGTCAGCTCTCCGTACATGAAGCTGCAGGAGAAAACACAGCGCTGACACCAGAACAACCAGAACCAGAACAACCAGAACAGTCGGTGTGTAGGTGGGTCGTACCTGCAGGTGCTGCTCTTCTGCATCACCTCGGCTCGATGGTACCCAGACAGTTTGCAGAAGCCGTCGTTGCTGTAGACGATCGGCCAGTCGACGATCTGAGCGTTCCCCAGCACGAAGTTGGTATCTGACCACAGGAACCAGTAGGTTAGAGTCTGACAGGAAGCTTTTATAACCTCCTTCTATACACGATAGAGCCGCAGGTAACCAGTGACCGCTCTATAGGGCTGTACATCACTCAAAATCCATTTCATCATTACTGTACTTTCTTTCAGTTCAGCTGCACACTATCCCGTCACGTTTACCTGCGCTGTCAGCGGCCCTGCAGGAGAGATGCTCTGTGGTGCACTGTGGGATTTTATAACTGAAAACGTCCGATTCAAATAAAGAGTTTAAAACCACCGAGATCTAAACAACGGATGGTAAAAATGTGGTTATGATATCATGCTAACAGACTGAGGCTAAAGTTAACAGGTCCCAGCAGTTATAATGACAGCAGACTAACAGTACAAACAGCTACCGGCCAATCACAACTTACACACACACACACACACACACACACACACACACCAGTTTACCACAGCACGACGTGACTGTGTGTGTGTGTGTGTGTGTGGTGTATAACACATTCATAACAGCTGTGGCTTCACAGCATCATCATCATCATCCGACTGACACATTGGATAGTCGCTCCCGGCTGCTTTGTGGTGAGCTCTAAAACAAAGATACATTAAACTTAAAGGTCTTTAATGTAATATAATATCATATAGGTATGTTTCCATTAATGTTACCTTTTTCTTTAATCAAAGGGACCAGTGTGGATTTAGCAGCATATAGTGCCTCTATATAGAGCCAG